CAGCTCGGACATGTGCGCGCAGCCCCGCGGCCGCAGCCAGCGCGGGAGTGCGGCGGGAGCGGGGCTGGCCCCGCGCTATTGAGCCTCGTCCCGTTTTTCCGCCGAGGGATGCTCCTGGCGTGAGGCGCGGAGGATGGAAATTGTCTGGGAGGTGCTTTTCCTGCTGCAAGCCAATTTCATCGTCTGCCTTTCAGGTAAGGGGAGGGATGGGGGCATTGCGGGGTGGGCAGCGGGCATCCCCCCGGAGCCCAGGGGCATGGGTGCCGCCAGGGACCACAAGTTCCTCAACTCGCCCCAGCCGGGGGGCTGGGTGCCGCCAGCATGCGGGTACTTTGAAGGCTGCTGCTGGGTCTCTTTTTGTGTGTGTTTGTGGCTGTAAATGGATTGAATCCCCCCCCCCCTTTATAATAGCCCCCTTTTGCAGCTGGGAGTCCTGTTTCAGGCTCTCCGGTCTCAAGGTTGCAGGCGTTTCTCCCTCCCCGCTGCGGGCAGTCAGGGTGTCCCCTGTCCCGTGTGTCAAGGGGCACGGCCGGGCTCTGGCATTAAGGATTGGAGCAATTTATGCCCTGGGGAAAGCACTCTTTTCGGCTTGAAAAGCCCTGGCTGGCTGCTTCGCTTGCCATAGCAGGCGGCTGGAATAATTACCATTGCAGGAGCAACGAGGGGTGGGGGGGCTGTGGGATTTCTAGCTCGGGACGCTTGGGGGATCTGGGCTGCCTGGCTCCCTGCAGGCTGCCTCTGCCCTCCAGTCTTTGCCTTCATCTGGGACTGGCAGCACCAGCCATTACATTGCAGGGAGGGAGGTCCCAATGGGTGACAGAGCCACGGGCTGATGGGGAAACCTTCCCGGTGACCAGGCAGAGACTGGCCTTAGCCAACCCCTCCCCACCAGACCAGCAGCCCCTGCCCCATCCCTTCTGCTGGCTCAGCGTGCAGAGCCCACCCCTGCTGGCAGTCTCTGCACCGATTCCTGGCTGAACCTGGAAGGAGCCAGGGAATGCCCACCCTCGGGTAGCACTGGTGCCAGGGTGGGCATTACCTGCACCCAGTCGTGAACTGGCAGTGCCTGCATCAACCCACTGGGTCACGGAGCCCTTTTTTTCCTGCAGTGATACCGCGCGCCACCAGGCTGGGTGGTGTGTTTTCTGATGCTGGCAGCAACTCTGGCTGCCCTTACTCCCTCACCTATGCTTGCTGGCACTGCCTAGATAATGCACCCTCTCCCTCCTTGAAATGTCAAAGCCTGCTGCCTCAATCATCTCCATCTCATGCTTTGTGGTTTGTCTCCGTGTGATATGCCACCTGTCTAGCTCTCCAAGAAATAGTCACTTCCCGTGACACGCACAACAAGAACACAGGAATCAACCTTGCCGTGCTAAAATACCAAGAAGCCTTCTGACCACTTGCAGCAGTAACATACTGAGATAGACGCTATATGGGTTCTTACACCGAGCTCATCGCTCGACTATCTAGCTGGTATCTCCTAATCTCCCTCCCTTCAGAAATCGAAACCCAGGCTTGTGAAACTGATAGTAAGCTGGGTCCTACAGGGGCTCTCTTGACTCTCCATCTCCCTCTAGCTCTGAGAACAGTCTGATAGCCATCTCCTCTTTTTTTTTCTTTTTTTTGGGAATAAAACAAACCACAAGCTGCATCTGCTGCATGATGAAAGCTGTGGCTTCAAATATTTTGGTTTAATCCCATGCAGAATATATATGTCCATTTAGCTTTCAGTTCCATATTTTTTCCTCCCTCGGGTTCGTTCTTTCTCAGAGATCCAGAGTATTTGTCATCCTGGCAAGAAGAATTAAGATCTGCAGATATCTGCCTGGCACTAATGCTTTGTATCTCTTCGTCCTTTTTCATGCTCTTCTGGAGCTTATTAATTTAACAGTGCTAGTCGGGCAATGGTTGAGGTACAAGACAAAAAGTAGCCTGTTAAGAAGTTAAATTGATTCAAATCTTGGCTTCCAGAATATCGTGCTGTTAGCATGCATCATACCTCTGTCATGTCTCTCACGAAAAGAAATTAGGTGAGAGAAGTTCTTTAGGATTTGCATCTCGATTACAGAAGTAAAAAAGAATGGCATCAGTGAATTAAGTAATACATTTTTTTTTCTTGGTAAATCAGTACATTTTAGGAAGACATTTCTAAGACTGTGCTTTTACTTTCAATGGTGTATGTGTATCTTTCCTGTGTTAGGGAGTAAGGCCCTGACTCACAGGCTATTTAAGTCACAGAGGCTTCTTCTATTATTTTCGATAGATGTTAGATCAGACCCTGTTTAAAGCTACAATGCAAAGTGGCATTGTTAGTCATCAGCCGATTAATTCAGCCTGTCTGCTGAGTAGCTCTATCAGATTTTGTCCTGTATGCTTTTATGTAACACTACTTAAAACACAATATTTGCTGAACAGTTTCTTATCCAGTTCTGGACTTCTGTGACACAATTATATGTTAAGACTGAATTCTTATAGTTGCCACTTTTGAATGCCCCTCCCTCGTAACAATTTAAGTTGATCGAGGGAGCAAAACGGAAGGAAACACCATTTATATCACAAATGTTACGTAAAATTGTTTTAGTGGACTATTAGTAGTTCTTTGTGTAGGAAAGCAGTTTTATCAACTAAAATACAAATACAGTATGATTTTAAAGGAATAATTGTAACAGTCTCCTCCCCAATGTTTTATTCATTGGTCAACTACCTATACCTCAGTTGTAATATTTTGGGGTGGATTGTCTGGGGATGAATGGTACTAGGATGCAGAGATAAAACAAGTATGGTTTTCTTCCAAGTATTTTTCGAGATTGTTTAATTTAGTGGCACTTAATTTAAAACACGTCATTTATATGTTTCGTCTCAGGTACAGCTTGTCAGCTGGATGCTTTCATTTTCTGGGAATACTGAATCAGTGCTTCTGCTACTTAAAGTTGTTTAAAAAATATTACCTAGCTTCTTTTGTGTGAATGATAAATCAAAATAGGCTTTTGGAACAAGAACATAATTTTAATCCCTTAAAAGGAATTGAAAGGCCTTTTTTTTTTTTAATACGATGGTGAATTTTTTGTTCTGGTGAAGAGAATTGCTTAAAGGTATCGGTGATGAAGATGCTCTTAGAGCTTCAGCTACTAATGATGATACTACAGGATATCATTAAGAGAGTGTTGTGCCAATGGAGTTGTTGTCCTTTGGATAGGATGTTAAAATAAGATCTGTTCTGGCTGCTGTTCCTGTGGAGTTGCAGATAATCATGACAGCAAATAAAAAACAAGGAGATTACAGCCTGTGGTGTGATGGCCAAAATTCCCTTCCTGTGTAATACCACTGCGGATTAATTAGCAGCAATGTTCACAGCTGTAGGTGGGCTGTTGCTGGCCACGCAATGGCTGCCACGTTTGCTTGCACAGCCATTTGCATCCACTGGGTGTAATGTTTTGAGGGTTGTAGACATCTGCAACAGAAAAGCTGAGATGTTCTTTTCAAACCTTTGCAGCACACTTCATTATAAAATAAAGAATGGCTAGCATCATCCTTATTTAATGAGAAGGTCTCCACTTAAGGAAGTTTGCCCATTAGTCTTCTCAAAAGAAGTCGGTGTGACCTGGCTGCTCCGGCTCCTCAGGGTGTGCTCTGACTGTGACACAGTATCTCAGGAGGCCATTGGCAGTTCGAAGGTTGTAGTCCTGAAATGGCCAGGGCACTCGTTATTTGAGAACATTCTCATTTTTCTTAAGAGTTTGCTGTTTTCCAGTCATGGATGGGCAACGCCTGATCTCGTTGTAGCCTCCTTGAATTCAGTTGGAAGCACCAAGGAGCCATAAATCACAGCTTACTGCCCGACTGAGGCTTCCCACGTGGAGGAACTCCTGGGCGGTGAAGAGTTGGCCTAATAGCTTCTGGCACTGAGGATGTCTGGGGGGAGTGCAATGGAGCAATGTTGCATTTCTCCAGCTGTTTTAAGAGCTGTGCCCTCTGGTACGGCTTAGAGCAGCTCTAAAGCCTGCTCTAAATTGTCGGGGGTTGAAGTAGCTCTTGGATGGCCTGGTATCTAAGAAGCACTAAGGTGACATAAAGCCTGCTTTGCTTGCTCCTTTCAAGTCTCATCTTCAAACACAACAGGGAGAGACCTGGAATTTTAGGGCCTGATAATTCCCGTTTCCTACCAGAGTACAATTGGCATAACTCAGTGAGTGTTCATGGAGATGAAAAAGAAATGTACAGAAAGAGTGCTAGGTCTTCAGTCTCCATTAATTTCTGTGGCTGTACTGTACTTCAGGAATTCAGGACCAAAAGCTTTGGAAACAAATTCATAATTGTCAAATACTGCTTCAAAACTGTGATTTTTTTTTTTTTCTCTCGTGTTTGAAGTAGGTAGAAAATAACATAAAGAGTGTAATGTTCAGATGAAAACAGCTAGTCCCACTAAGGGGCATATGCAGTTGATCCCACTAGAGTCAACATACGGGTTGATAAATAGGCTCTTACGTTTAGTGGGCTAGCCCTTCTGGCATCTCGTGTACTAGGTCTCCCTCCTGTTCCCTGGGTACAGGCCTTTATCCCCACACGGAGCCCATTGAGGTTCATGGAAATCTGCACAGATTGAGGGATCCTTCTGTGCATATCAGATGGCAGGTTTGAGCCCATATGTTGGCGAGAATAACAAAAGGGTTTTTGATCCAAAGCCTTGTAGGTTGAGAATAGTTGCACAATTTGTGTAGGTACCTCTGCAGCACTGTTCTGAATGTCTTGCAAGTACCATGAATTTTGCTGCCTTCTCAATGGGTGACGATGTACCTGTACTTAGGCACTACTGAAATAATGGCCTTGCCGTCCATTATAAATGTTTTCATTTGCTTTTCTGTTTTATAATTTCAACCATTCTGTTTTAATTGTTAGCTTTTCATCACACGATAAGAAAGACGCCAAAGCATGAAAAGGATAAGGCACTTATTTTTAGCTGCACAAGTCGAGAAGCTTGTGAATTGTCTTGCACATTTCATACCAAACTGTTTTATATCAGGCAAACCTAAGGGGAGAGATTTGTAATCTTTGCTATTGTTTCTCAAAGAATAATGATTGAGATGCACAGTCTCTTGATCTTGCTCTGCTGACTCATTGTTAATGAAACTGAATTAGATACTAGCCCTGCAAGACAAAATTATTTAAAAATGAAATCAGTGTTCCAATTAGC